CTGTTTTCTGCTGACATCACCTGTGATGTATTATTTCCTTGTGTGGATGGATTGTATTAGAAGGTTATTGAGAACCTGCAGACCTCCATAGTAGATGTTTGTCTATGAGGGTTGACATCTGCTGATGCGAGATCTGTCTGAGACCTGAGCTTCTCTTGAAGGTCTCCAAACTGCAGCCCCCACATGTCACTGTGGCGATGGTGTGCAGCCGTTCCTTCCCTCACCTCCACCTCGCTTCCTCTCATCGCCACCTGATACTTCTTGTCATCCTGTGAGTTTGTAGATAGCAGTTGGTTACTAGGGTGTTCAGTGTCATTTCTTTCAGATCTAGAGCTAAGTAGCTCCTCTTACCTGACAAGGCCCAGACCAGGGAAGAAGAACGCCCTTCAAGGGAAGAGCAAAGCCAAGCAGGTGCGGCTGCACCTTGCTGCTCCTCCCACCCACTATCCACGTGGCCTAGGAGTGGGAAGTCATGACTGCAGGGCCTGAATCCATACTGGAACCTAAGGCATGTGACTTTGAATCCAGGGTCTTTTTCATCCAACACAGAGGATGTGCTGTGAAACAGTCACCATACTAAGAAAGGGCCTAGAAGTGAAGACAGGGCTGTCTTGAAGTCTCCACTGAGCACATGGGGAGCATTAGCAGTGGTCACTGGGTTCTGGCCCTCAGGAGTTCAGTGTATCCAGTGGAGCTGGTGACGTAGGGCAAGGGGAAGACCGGGTACCAAGTGGCCTTGGTCCTTTGTTAGCTTCCAGGTCCAGGGTGTGTCTTTACACCTCACTTTCTAGGTTACTTTGAGACTTAAGTAAAACCACTGCAAAAGCATTATTTACTACAGTGAAAACACAATTTCAGTTAAATGCAGTAAAAAGTATAAATTCAGATTTAGATTGAGGATGTAAAGCTCTGTAGATATTAGGACCATAAATAGGTTGCAGTTTGGGGATCACATTGTGATCTTTGACCTGCATATTATTTTAGAGCTGAGATTCAGCTCTTCTAGTCTGAAAATTGGCACAGCCAAAGCAAGGGTGGTCCTTCGCTTCTTCACTGTCTCTGGGAGGAATACCAAGAAACCTTAGGTAAGCAGAAATACAGAGAGTCCGTCATCTTAACCTCATGCTGGGATACAACTGGTACTCCTTTTTTCTCAGATGCTGAGCATTGAGAACCACTCACGTGGGCCTTATGACTCAGTCTGCGGCTCTTGCTTCTCGTGTCTTGCACCACGTTCTGTGTCCGAGTGGGTGTGGGTGGTAGAGGACAGGCGAGTCACCCGCCTCCTGGATAAACTCAGAATGTGTGCCCAGTGGAAAGCAGCTTTTTGTGTTTGCATTTGTGTCAGAGCCTTCATTTAAAGCACCAGTTTTCCTTTTCTATGGATTGCTGCTTTTGTCTCAAACTGGATAAAAATTCAAAACTTCTGCTAGTTGAAGCTTTGTGGGTTTATGTAAAGAGTGAAATCGGTATTCTGATTCAGTAGCATAATCCACATTCTGAGAGCGTTATTTCATAGTTACATCATTGGTGGACTTATAAAGTCATGGTCCAAAAATGGCCTAGGTGACAGACACCCGTTTTTTTCTGAAAGGAAATCCATAAGCTTTTGGGGTCAATAGGCATCTTCTGCAAAAGCATTGAAGAAAATACAGCTTTTTTTTTTTTGTTACTGATCCCTGTTACTTTTGTTCCTGCAGCTGGGCCTCTTTTTTTGAGTAGGTAGGGTTCTGAACAGTGTAAATCAAATGCGTAGAATCATTACCTTATGTTTCCAACATTACATTTGTGTAGATGCATTTTCTTATTCCTGTAAGCTAGACACCGTTCAGCAAACACTTATTGAACACCCAGTATGTGCCAGGCCCTGTGCTACATTCTAGGAAGACAAAAATCAATTAGTCCTGGCCCTTCTTTTCAAAGAGCTCACAGTCTAAAGAGAAGACAAAAACATAATCAAAACAAAATATCAATATTGTGACATACCTAATGGAACTTACAGTTGCTGGGCAGAGAAGTAACACTGGAGAGAGAAAATTTTAAATGAGTCACGGGTGGTTTTGCAGAGGAGGTGATGCTGAAATAGGATTTTGAAGGATAAGTAAGAGCTGACTGACACACATGGGTGGTGGAACCCAGGCTGTCAGCCAGGCTTTTCAAAGCTGAAACCCCAAACAACTCACGGTCATGTCTTGAGGAGTCCAGGAGGTACTTAGATAGCTTCAGAGTCCTAAGAGTGCTTCTGCTAGTCAGGGTTACCAGCTAGGCCAGCACTATAGGACTGTGCTCAAAGCCAGCAGCTCAGCATCTGTCAGATGTTTCTGCCCCTTGGCAGAAGGTACTCAAGACTAGGAAATCTTCTACTTAAATTGTTACTTTTGGTAAATCACTTCTCAGCAAAGCAGCTCTTAGTTTATCATTGCTTTGTAGAAATGGGTATCTATAAAATACTGTTTTCTTATTTTCCTGGCTCTTGCACCCTGGGGCTCCCATGCCAAAAACAATGACTTCAGGCTCTTGCTTGTATCCTGGGTGGCCCAGCTAGACCTGTTTTTTCCTGCTGAGTCCTGAGTGTCTGCTCTAGCCTCCTCTCCCACTTTGCCTTTCGGGGCCTGTTCCAGCAGCCCAGAGGGAAGTGCTTCCTCTCTGCTCCGAAGTACTGTGGAAGAGGGGCAAGGTGGAAAGGTTTGGTTGGGTGGTCCGTTGTTTTGTGTCTACGGACTCTGTGTCTATATAAGTAGTCTCTATATAGAAGTCTGTAAGACTGTAGTCTTAGAAAATGAAAGTAGTGCACCTTCACACTCACTGAGTACTTACTGTGGGCCAGGCAGTGTGCTGAATTCTTACCATACCCCTGGAGGTAGGTATTTCCAGATTGCAGATGAGAAAACTAAAGCACAAAAAGATTGAGTGATTTGCCTGAGGTCACACAGCTAGTAAAAGGGAGAGCTGGCATCTGAGCTCGCCAGACTGCAGAGCCCGAAGGCCAAGGCATGGGACTAGAGTTCAGATCTAGCTGTCACCTGAACGTGCCTCCTCGTGGTGGAGCCAGCAGTGGTAGCCCCTGGACTAGATGTGCAGTCCCAGCTTTCATCTTGATAGCTCCAGAATTCCTCCTTTCCTTGCCATCTTCACTGCCATTGCTTCATCATTTCTCATCCCCTGACTGACAGCTTGTCCTCCTTCCACCTCTGGTTCATCCGCACAATATTGCCAGATTGATCGTTCCAATAAGCTGACCAAATCATCTTACTCTGCTGCTTAAATCCCTCTGTGGCTCCCCAGCCCCTCAGGACAAAATGATACAAAGCTGTCTTTGGCCTGGCTGCTGCCCCCTACTCATTCTGGAGCCTGTCAGGATGTGGCACTGTCATCCCTGTATGTGCACCATCCCCATGCTCCTAATCCTTCCTGTGCTCCCTCTGACCCAGCCAGGCCCGCAGGATTCTGCCGAACCATCACTTGCTCTTAAGAACCCTCCAGAGTACCCTCCCACTTGGGTTTACAGAATTCACTGCTCATTTCTGCATCCTAGAGGATGTGATGACCAGATTGCCCATAACTGGACACTCCTCCACTCCAGCAGGCAGAGGTCCTGCTGAGGGAGAACTGTATGCCTGTCCGGCATTAGCAGAGACTGGGGCAGAAGGGCTAGGATCCACATGTCCCACCTCATGCTAGAGCGCGTGTAATTTGGGGAAAGGCAGACGGTAAACCAACAGGCTACAAGTAGGTCTTGAATTATAACTGTGGTAAATACTAAGAGGAAAATGAAGGATTCTAGTGTGTTCAGTGGGAAGGCTCACTTTGGTCTTGGGTGTTGGGTCTTGGGCAGTGAGAGCAAAGGCATGCCGGCTTCTCTGAGGAAGGGATCTTTAGGCCGAGGCATGCAGGATGTGTGTGAGTGCGGTAATGAGCTGAGGCTTGCACATTCTAGAGCATGGACACAGCACAAGCAAAGCTTAGGGCCAAGAAAGTGAATAGGCGTGTGCTGGCCAAGTGGAAACCTGTTGTGACCAGGGCCTTGGTGAGCAGGAGGGGTAGAGGTGGCGGCCCTAGCTCTCTTAGATCTCCTCAGGCCAGAACCTTGGGAACCCACTGCTACGTCTTGAGCCAGAGGAGTGACATGTGCTTGAATTTACATTCAACAAAGATCACTCTGGCTGTGGTGGGGAGAAGGACTGCGAAGAGGCCCTGGTGCAAAGGTGCAGGCTGTTGTGGCTGCACCGCTGTGAGATCATGGTGCTTAGGAGCTCCTAAGGAGATCAGCAGCCAGGGCCTGGGGCCTGGATAGGGGCGGAGGCAGAGGGAGGACCCAAGGGGGCTGCAGTGTGTACAGGAGCAGCCAGATGGCTAGTCACTCAGTAAATTCCTGGATGTTGGCTAGCCAGCTGGCCAGACCCCGATCACTTTCCCTTGGTCCCTTCAACAGTGGTCTGCCCCACAGGGTTCAGGGCAGGGCTTGCCAATGAGACAGCTCCTTTGAGGATGCCCTGGTCTTTAGAGCACAACATAAAATTCCTCTAGTTCATTAGATTTGTGCTGTACCTTGCCCAGGTAGAAGAGGTCAGTATTATAAGGGTTTTATCATTTTCATCAGTGATTCCGAAGTTGACTTATTAGTGATGATTATTAAAATGCTTGCTGAGACTATGAGACTGAGCCGTAGAAACAGATCTTATGACACACGTGAACACATGAACCATACTCACACGTGACCCGGTAGGAATGTGAGAGGTTACTGAGTTGTCTATGAAGTTTGTTCAGATACACTCCTCAAGGCATCGGTTGCTTTTCATACCTATGGTTGAAATTTGGCCTGCCGTGTGTAGTCTCATAAATCAGTTCCACGCTTTGTGAGATGTGCTCCCTGTGGGCCCTAACTCATGGTGAGCACATCCCATGAGGCTTATAATGAATTGTCTGTCTGTAGTTTAACTACTTACTTAGGTAAACAGAATATTAATTTTGATATGTGATTAGAAAATTTTTTTTTGTAGGCTTTACCGCCAGCACCTGTTCAGAATCACACAAATAAGCATCAGGTATTCAATGCATCTCTTCAAGACCATATTTATCCGAGCTGTTTTGGGAATACTCCAGAGTGGAATAGTTCTAAATTTATAAGTCTTTGGGGATCAGAAGTGATGAATGATAAGAACTGGAATTCTGGCACTTTCTTGCCAGATACAATTTCTGGTAAGGAATTTGTTAAAACTTTCTTAAAGTTTTAAAATAACCTGAGCTGAGTAGATTGACATCTTTGCTGTAGTCTCCCGTGGAAGCCCTGGCACAGCTGTAGCCAGCTGCTGCTCCATCACCTCCGTCTCCAGCGGGAGGCCCCTCGGGGCTGTCATCCTACTCCATCCTCTCGCATCTGCCACCAGTCAGTCCCATTGTGTGACTGAGCAGAGCAAGACTCTGGTCCGTGGCCGCCCGTCAGCCCGGTGACCCACATGGGCATAGTCCCAGCACTGCTGAGGGTATGGTGTCCATGGTTGGGTGTCCGGCCTTCAATTCTCGAGCAGTGGTAACAACTAGACCTCAGCCCCCTGGTGTACAGGGGCAGGGGGACAGTGCCACAGCCGACTTAAATCTGTGACTCACACTCCTTCCTCTGGTTGCTGCATTGACCCCACGTGGCATCTCTCCCCTTTACAAGCTCCTTCCTCCCCAGATGTCTCAGCCGCTGAGGCCCAGCTGTTACTTCAGTCGCAGGGACAGGGGCACCTGAAAAGGGGCTGGTACCTATGCCTCATCTCTGTCTTTCTCTGGCCAGAGCTCCTGGCAGCCCCACACCCAGCCCCTGCATGTGCCAGAACAGCAGGCTAGACTTGACATCCTGATCTGTGCTTGGGAAGGATTTCTAGCTGTGTGACCTTGGGCAAGTTGCTTGGCCTCTCTGAGCCTCAGTTTCTTCATCTTTTTAGGATGGGAGTAATAGTACCAACCTCAGAAAGTAGTTATAAGACATTACATAACTTTGGAAAGCACCTAGCACAGGAATTGGCACATAGTAGGTGCTCAATACAATTTTTTCTTAGATTAAAAGCTAGCTGACTTAGCATCATCCCAGTGGGAACCTGACTTCAGTAGCAGCCCCATTATAAAGTGTTCGGTCATCAGCATGTCTTTTAGGGTTTAGCTAAGTATGATTTCTGTCAGAAGCCTTAATTTTCCTGTTCTTCTTTGAAGGGAGTGAAATATTAGGGCCAACACTCTCAGACACAAGACCTGAAGCCCTTCCACCTCCATCTAGCAGTGAAACACCTGCAGTTTCGGATAGTAAAGAGAAAAAGAATGCTGCAAAAAAGAAATGTTTATACAATTTCCAAGATGCTTTTATGGAAGCAAATAAAGTTGTCATGGCCACTTCATCAGCCACGTCCTCCGTGTCCTGCACAGCTACCACAGTACAGTCCAGCAACAGCCAGTTCAGAGTGTCATCCAAGAGACCTCCTTCAGTAGGTAAGGCTTGAAGGCTCACTAGCCCTTGGGGTCCACAGGAAAGCAGTGCTTACTGACTTCTCATCTTCGTAACTGCCTTTTACTTGGCCTAGCCAGAGGCCTAAGTGTAGTTAACTGCCCAAAATGCTCACACCCAGAGAGCTGATCCCCAGGACTTTGATTAGAATTTTAGCTGTCGTGCTAGATTCCTCTGGGGCTTCTTCGCTGCACTGTCTTGCTTTTGTCTCTGTTTCTGTTGTTCTGTGATAAGAAGAGGTTATTGCTTTCTTTTTTTTGAGATAGGGTCTCACTGCCGCCCAGGTTGGAGTGCAGTGGCACAGTCTCAGCTTACTACAGCCTCCGCCTCTTGGGTCCAAGTGATTTTCCCACCTCGACCTCCCAAGTAGCTGGGACTACAGACGCCCACTGCTATGCATGGCTACTTTTTTGTATTTTTTGGTAGAGGTGAGGTTTCACCATGTTGGCCAGGTTAGGAAGTCATTGCTTTCTGAGCACGTGGCAGGATTTCTCAGAAGCTGCTTTAGGAAAATGCTGAGCAGATGTGAGCTGACAGAGCTGCTTGTCATCGAGCCTGGGGTATAGTCCCCGGCTATCACTTAGGGGGCCTGAAAGCAAGAATGTGACCAGAGACCAATGGCAACTCAGTAGCTGGCTTGAGGAGGCCTCATTAGCCAAAGTTGGGACAGATTGAGCATTAAAAGGAATGGGAAGGCCGAGTGCAGTGGCTCACACCTGTAATTCCAGCACTTTGGGAGGCCAAGAGGGGAGGATTGCCTAAGCCCAGGAGTTTGAGACTAGCCTGGGCAACATAGTGAGACCCCGTCTCTATAAAAAAAAGTTTAAAAAAACTAAGAAAGCTGACAATAGCATACAAATAAAGTCAGGAATCCATAGGGATAGGGATGCTGAAACAGAGCAGTAGGGTGGGAAGCTCTTCTTCCAGAAGCACACGTCCTCTAAATGTGTAAGAAGGGTAGGAGTGGCAAGTTAGCATGCTGCGGCCTGTGGCGTGACAGCTGGTGCAAGTATGCAGCATTCATGGAGGTTAACATGGGATATCCATTTGGGGAACGGAGTATTTCACCCACAGGGGACTGACAGATTACAGAGGGATAGTGGGCGCCTGTATTCATTCATTCATATGCTGCTACAAAGAAGTACCCCAGACTGGGTAATTTATAAAGGAAAGAGTTTTAGTTGACTCACAGTTCCACATGGCTAGGGAGGCCCCAGGAAACTTACAATCATGGTGGTAGTTACCTTTTCACAGGGGAGAGAATGACTACCCAGCGAAGGGGGAAGCCCCTTATAAAACCATCAGATCTCATGAGAACTCTCATTATCACCAGAACGACATGGGGGAAACACCCCCATGTTTCAGTTATCTCCACTGGGTCCCTTCCACTACACGGGATTATGGGAACTACAATTCAGGGTGAGATTTGGGTGGGGACACAGCCAAACCCTATCACTGCGGACTGACAGATTACAAAGGAATGGTGGGTGCTGGACTCTGGAGGAACCTGGCAGACAGCACCATGCCCACTACCATGAAACAGAGAGACACTGGGCTTATCCCATTGCCACAAACTCATAAGGATCAACATAATCTTTGCGGGATTTGTGCCCAGAACCTTTTTATCTAAATCTACCAAGACAAGACAGATCCCGATTGGCAGACAGATGGCCTATTAAAAATGTTAGTCTTGTGAAAAGAGAAAACATTTGGAAGAGGCTGGGTTGGTGGAAAAGCTATAAAGGACATTTGAAGGAAATTGGAAAATTGAATGTGGGTTATACCTTAGATGAGAGTATCCTGTCAGTGTTAAATGCCATTGGTGTGATCATGGTATTGTGGTTGTTCAGCAAAATGTCAAAAAAAGGAAAGAGAGAGGGGCCGGGCATGGTGGCTCACGCCTGTAATCCAAGCACTTTGGAGGCCAAGGCGGGCGGATCACCTGAGGTCGAGAGATCAAGACCAGCCTGACCAAC